TGGCAAGAAAAGGAACAGGCTGCAAATTAAATAAAATCAACTGAATCTCATAAATATCTTTACTAGAAAGTACCCTGATATTGGATGTTGGATTCCTCATGATGGTTGTGGCAGACACCATCATGGGTTAAAGGGACAGTTCATCCCCAAATCAAAAATACATATATTTCCTCTTACCTGTAGTGCTATTTATCACTCTAGATTGTTTTGGTGTGAGTGTTGGAGATATCAGTCATTCAGATGTCTGCCTTCTCTCCAATATAATGGAACTAGATGGCACTCAGCTTGTGGTGCTCAAAGCTGCAAAAAATACATTTGAAAAACTCAACACTAATGTCTCTTTCCAGAAATCATGACCTGGTTACTCAAGATAATCCACAGCCCTTGTTGTAAGCAGCTTCATAAAGGAACTCTTTTCCTTCTACCAAGCTACACCTGCTAACCAAATCACTGTTTAATCCAGCCACGGAGATGACAGTAGTTTGCTTTATAGCGACAACTTCACTCACTTCTCCTATTTCTTATGCTGCTTCAGTGTCGTTCCACTTTCACATGGGCACCTCACCAATTTTAAGCCCGGTTTACTTGTCATAAAAGGGTGCTATTCAATATGAGGAAAACAGCTGTATAATGTTGCCCATGTCTCTGAAGAGTGTGCTACAAAGTCTGAAAAAAAATATAACCTTGATGACATGAGTGAGGTTATTTTTCTTTTGTCATTTCCACCTGATCCGCTCAAAGCATGGCTTGTTCCGTTTGGATTCTGCATTACAAATAAAATTAGAAAAATTAATCTGAAAATATTTCACAAAATCTGTCCAGCAAACATGTATAATTCAATGTTTTCAGATGTGGATAGCAAGTGTACTTTCTGCAAGATTGAACAAGGAAAGTATAATACAAATCATTTTATGGGTGCCCACACTAACATTTTGACTTTGAGAATTATGTAAGGACAGGTGCAATTATTATTTGAATATTTTAATATATCATCTTTTTTTTATTATTTATTATAATTCCATAAGTCACATGAACTGAAAAATATGGAGCTGGTGGATTTTTTAACAGCTCAAGTCACATACAAAGCAGGAAATAACTTACTTCCTGGCGACATACAAAAATGCTCTTAGACAGAGAGGGGGGTACAGTTTAAGAGGTAGATTTAATCTGAAACAACGTTGTTTTCACATCACTCTGAAGAGTATGTGCATATCAATTTGTGGGATGATTTTGTGGAATGCACTGGGTGAAATCAAAGTAAAGATATCAGACAGAGGTACAAAGACAGTGTCTTCACAAGGTACAGAAATGACGAGAGTAAAAGGTAAAGTACACTCAGGGTGGTACTGATGTCGGTATTCTCCATTCGTATTTTTGTATTTGTTGTCTTGAACTTCAGACTTGAAATTTTTCGAGTTCGATACATACTACAGATGCTTACTAGGTGGCCTACTTCACCCAGTGGTGTACAGTCACCGCCTCCTCAGCGTCAGAGAGACGAAACCTTTTCTTTGACACCCAGCATTGCAATAAACTCACCACCCCTCTTTACCAAACATCCATCAACTGCCAACCAGTGGAGATATTGGAGAGCTTCACCACGGCATCACCCTGGACAATAAACGGAGCTTTGATGACCACACCACAGACATCCATAAACACTGCCAACAAGAACCCTCTGCCATCCACAGATTAAGTGCTCTCTTAGTCAAACCTCACCTCCATCTCCTACTGTACCCCAGCATTATTGAACCCATCCTCCCAATAGATACAACAACCTCCCCACCCCTAACCTGCCAGCTCTCATTGACACCACCACCACTTGCAGAGCACTGACCATAGCACACAAGCCCTGCCACCCCACAACCCATCCTCCTTCCCTCGATAGACAACTGTTCTGCAAGAACAAGTTTTGTGCCCTCAGCCATTACAGCTTATACTTCCACCAAAATGAATAAAAAACAGATGAAATTAACGGGAAATAGGGCTCCAACTACTCTGAACATATTGTGCAAAAAATATACTGCATCATACAATATGTTTAGAATATATTGTAAATCAAATGCTCAGTCTACATGCCATGATTAGGAATTAAATTACAATGCAATCCAACATCTTAGCACAAACTTTGGCCGTGGAAATCACCAAACAATCTAATCAACTCGCTACACAAAGGTAGGATTTATTGTAGGGACATTGCAGTGGATTACATTATATTAAACAGGTGTTGTTGTGTCAACCTTGTATAAAACCTGAGTCCTTCACAAAAACCACTTTCTTTTAAGTGCTGAAAAAGCAGCAAACCACTCGTCAATTCCTCCATTCTTCTCTTTATATAAGTAATCGAGTTTGTTTAGGTAAATAAAAACACCTGCTGTGAGTCTAAATGAGCGTGGACGCTTTAGAGGGTGGATGATCCTCTGTCGACTCATTTCAGAGACACCGCGATGAGGATGAGGAACGGGCCCTTTTGGGGTTTCAGCCAGTGGGATTAAAGAAAAGAGGCCACCCGGCTTTTCAGAATATTCAGAGCAATCTTGGTGCTTTTGACACGGCTGTCAGCGGGGCGCTTTAATTTAGTGATCATTTTTAGACCCCGGCCTGATCTCCCAGCAGAGCCACAAATACAGATGCTTCGGTATGTAATGATCCTGGCTAATTGTGTAGATACATCCAAAGGGTTGGAAACAGCTAATAACAGCCTCGTCGAGGTTGATTTACCGTCAAATGTCAAGCAACAGAATAACTATTCATGAAATGGAAGAGTGGTTTATTGATTCAGTAAGACAAACATGATAAACTAGGCTGCTGCATGTCTCGACTGCAGCTCTGGAAATCAATTCCTCCACAGTGTGCTGCAGAAGACGGCTGATATCAGCCTCTAACGTGTGTGTGAGCTGTTGCTGAAAGATGAACTCATCTCTTCTCATTAAAGTTAATTTATCTTTCTGTCAACTCCAGAGGAGAGGACCTTCCTCTCGTTACCATGACAATTTTTATTACAGCACGGAGAGCCACGGTATGAGCCTAAAAGAGCCAAGAATGTACAAGTCGTAAACAATAAGATGTCTTGCTCCTATTAAAACTGAACCAGGAGAATGTTTTTGATTTTGCAGGAGTGACGTCACCATGCTCTCACTCCCAACTCATCAAATACAGCAGCTTGGTAATCACCCTACACCTCAAACTATGATGCTCTAGGTACATATCCAGCTTTGGTTTAGGACAGTGGATCCCATCTGGTGGGTCCTTGTCCAAAAGTGGGTCGCGGGTCCATTCTGAATGGGCCGCAAGTGACTCGCAAACTTGACAAGTCTGTAAAAAACATACTTCATTTTGAGGTACAGTAAATTTCCAGCACAGAGCTTTTACTTTGAAGTGCCACTTCCTGTTGTAGATTAAGTGACTAACTGACAAATACAGTACAGAGACAGCAAAGTAGCTCGACCACATGGCCAAACACAAGTATGATGCTGAATATATTAAACTGTGTGGACCCTGAACTAATGACTAAAAAGGAATCTGGACCCCATGGTTGAACCAGTTGGGAACCACTGCTTTAGGACATGTCAATGCTCGTGTCAATGTCCATTCGGTACATGCAACACGCAAAATGAACGTTCATGTTCACAGGAAACCAAGGTTTTGCTACCAAACCTACATGGTAAGGTTTGGAAAGACAATCACGGTTTGTTACAGTAACTTAATGAGTATGTATGTTGATGGCTATGTTACATGACGTAAGCCTGTGACCACTGACACACAAGATGGCTTATGATAGATTTATTTCCTGTATCTTTATCACATGGGTTTTGCCACTGCCCCGTCCCTTCAGGAAGCTAGCAGCGGTCCAGAGTCGATTTACTCCAATGGGAGAAGTGAACGTGAGCACAGATTACGACTGATTCTGTCACCCAAAAGACACCAAAGTAACCATTTTTCACAAGCCACATATCTTCTCAACATTCTGACACTGAAATGTTGTTTCTCAGACAGACAAATCAGAATTCAAAATTTACATTGTTTGAGACCTGTCTCTGTCTCAGCAACACACACTCGAGATCTGACAACAGATATGATCTTGTACTCTGTCAATATCAGATGTTAAGATAGCAGATAAAAACAAGCAGCCAAATTAGGAGCCAACATTAAATCTATATTGTATCTAGTGTTGTATTGTTTTAAATCTGCTTTCATCGATCTACCCAACGTACTGAACACTTTAAAACAAGGTCTGGGGGTGGGCCCAGTTGGGAGACCTTGAATTTTGGTTGGACACGATCACTTGTCTCTTTATACTATGTTATTGCCACAAATGGGATTATATTGGCGTGGGTTAAAAGCCCGGTGCATCTCATACAGACAGTAATAGAAGCCAAGGCCACTGACCAAATTTAACACGTCACACCCCAGCCATATTTTATCCTCATAATGCTAACAGAATTAGTGGCCAATTCGTTCACTAACGCTGATAAGTTGTGTCCAAAGCGGCTTGTTAAAGGACCAGATTGACATTTTGGGAAATACACGTAATTGCTTTCCTTTAATGATTCATGAAAACCAGTTGCTTGATACCACATGTACTACAGCTTCTACACAGGTTGAGCTAAATAAAGCCCAGGGATGCAGAACGTCACTTCTTCAGTTTAAACATACTTACCTTTTGAAAATAAAAGGTCGAGCTGTCATCTTTTGTTTTTCAGCTAAACTCTGCTTCATGTAGCAGAGCTGTAGTGATGTTACTTCCACTCAGTAAAGATAGCGAGTGAGCTAAGATGTTCACTGGTTTTTGGGATCCATTGTGGATCTTTAAACAGAGCTAAACTTTAAATGAAGTGGAACAGTTTTGGCATCGGGACTCACAAACACAAGTAACCCACAGTTCACTTCAATCGAGACATTTACTCCTCTAGACGTGAGCAGCAGAATCAAGAAAACATGCATTAATATGTGAAAATACATTTCATATTCCCCCAACACACGATGAAATGTCCACTTACCAGTCTGTGTGCTGATCATCAATGACAAGCAAGATCTTGGGCTTGCGTATGACAGGTTTAGGTGGCTGGCTGCTTCCCGTCGAGGCTCCTTCAGCTGCTGTTGCTGCTGATTTGGCGTGTGCAGCGGCAGCGACATTCTGGGCCATCTGAGCACTCTTCACCACACTGGAGAAGGAGCTGAGGAAGCTCCCTGTGCCCGAAGTCGGGGCTGGGCCCGAGGCTGGGTTAGGGCCCGGAGTCGGGGCGCTCGGGGGCTGCCGCCTCTCTGTGGCCGGGGAGGCCGGGGAGGAAGTGGATGAACCTGGAGGAGTCGGCCTCTGCAGATCCATCATGTAGCCGTTGGGGAGGTTGGCCACAAAGCTGCTGTCTGACAGGCGCCGGCGGAGGTAGTTCATGGTGATGGGCTGGTGGGTCCGTCAGGCCAGAGGTGGTGAGGGGGAAGAATGCCTAAAATCCTGCACAGGGTACAAAGAAAGGAAGAAAGGATGTGTTTATAATCGGTCATCATATTCAGACATCATATCAAAGATGCACTAAAATGACTACTTGTAATGAGCAAAGTGTCACTCGTAACAGAGGCTGAATTTTTTTCATGGTATCACTCCCAGCTGTTAACATATTGCAGCTCTGTCAGTGAACTTTCACATCTACGTATGATGTTATAGGTAGTGTGGGTGCATCTGTTGTTGATGTTCTGGGACGCCATGTCAATTTACACCTGTTACATGCATGTGTCTTTCCAAAATACATTTCCTTTTTCCCAGGACATGTACAGTTTCTGCACCTTAGATGCATACGGTGTTTTTCAAAATAAACTTACAATGTTGGCAAAGCTCCTAGAATTTATGTTCATTTCCTTGTGCAACAAAAGCACGTGGTTAGGTTTAAAAAAATTTACTTTGGCTCAACATTCATGCAGGAACCTGGGTGAAAGCCTGGGGCCAGTGCACAAAGCACCTTAAGTTTGCTCTTTAAGTATGACACTTAAGGCTTACATGAAAAACCTCACCAATAACTGACTGGAAAGGTCCCATCGCGTAAAACTGAAGAGCAATCATTAACTGTAAAGGGGCTGAAAGAGCGCAGTTTTGGAAAGTTGAGTGATCCAACCCCAGACAGTCACAGTCAGAAATTTCCTGGTAAAATTTAAGCAGGATTTATACTTGTGCGGTAGACCCTACACCATAGTCTATACGTGTAGCCTACACCTTTGTGAGTGTTTGCGTCTCACAAAGGTGTAGGCGTCTGCTCATATGAAGCCAGGATAAATCACATACAAGACCTATAAAGCTATTTTTGTGGAGGCTTTATCATCTTCACAATTTATTGTTTCTTATCTGTGAATTTAAAGTAAATAAAAGCTTCGTTTCCACTGATGGAAATGGTTTCAGCTTAAAAGAATAGACAGGAGGAGTATAAATTCCCCCTTTATAAGTGCAAAATCAGTTGCTTAGCTTTAAGCATGCCCATCAGGTTCTCCCGGTCGTGAAACACTCTTCTCGGGATGCCTTAACTTTCCTCATTTATTTCCGTAAACTAGAGTTGTACCGATACCAGTATCGGAAATGCTTCCGATACTGCCTAAAATGCGGTATCGTTTATCAGCGAGTACAGCCTGTGACCAATCCGATACCACGTAATGCCTCACGTCATTATGCATACGCACACTACAGGCAAACGAAACGGAGCGGAGTTTAAAAAGCATTCTACTGTAGCCTTTAAAATGTCTTTTTTACCAAATTGTGTGGCTTCACTTTAACCTGTGTCTTGATCTGTGTCAACACTGGATAATAATAATAATAATAATAAAAAGTTTTATGGCATTCATTCTACTATTATGTATTTATTTCTTATATTTTTACACAGAGTTTTAGGAGTTGAGACATACAACACATTTTACGCGCTGGTATCGGACTGGTACTTGGTATTGGCAGATACCTAAGGTTCAGGGATCGGAATCGGTATCGGGAAGGAAAAAGTGGTCTCGGTACATCTCTACCGTAAACTCAACCATGTTTTTGTCCTTACTTTGGTTACTAAGGTTCTTTGTGCAACAGTTTAACAAACCTTAAGCAATTCCTTAAGTATAAGACCAAGATAAGGAGAAAAACTTAAATCCTGAAGTAAACATTTCAGGGTAACTTTAAGCGGAAGACCTTAGGGTGTTTTGTGTTGCTGTTTTTTTGGGGGGTTTTTTCAAGGAAACCTCAACTTGGACTTTAAGGAAAATCTTAACCTAAGGTGCTTTGTGCAGCCAGCCTCATCCCCATCCCTCCCACACACCCTATGGGGACTTTGCAACTCCTTAAATAACATTGTTATCCACTGCCATTATAAACTATTGAGGCCGGTGCTGCTATAAACTGATGCTGCCCAGCGGCATATCATACCACCATGAAAGGATGCCTTTTGCCGTCAGTGTGTGACATGGAAATCACTGACCAAGCAGCAGTATTTGATGACTTTAGAATGAGAATGGGTGAAGGGAGCGAACAGGACAGGAATCACAATGACAATATTGGGCTAACAATGTGAAGTCAGCAGCTGCAAAGCACAGGAAATATAAGCCCCTAAGTGTGAGCACACATGCTATTTTATTTTAAGTATGTGAAGTAAAATGGATCATTTGTTAAGATAATATGATCGTGATACTAATTTCAGTGCTTTAAAGGTAATTCCCATTATGTGTTAGCATATTTGCCACACGGTTGTAGCAGTTAGAATCAGAATCTGAATAAGGTTTAATACCAAGGTTTCCACTTACAACCAAACGGTGTGCAAGAAACACACAATAAACATTAAGAGGAAATAAAATTAAAGGCAAAGTACTGCAACAGTTAAGAACATAGATATAGAGTAGAAAAATTACAATTAATGTATGTAAACGATAGTATAACATAACAAATACGTACAATATCAGTTGTCATCCTGATGATCCAACAGTGAATTATCTGCAGTCCCCCTCGGAGGGAGAGTTTTAGCACCTTTCAGGTCATTGTTATGATTTTACGGTCTCATTGCTCTTAACCTTTTTATAGCTGTGGTGGGCAGCTGTTTTCAGCTAAAAAAAAGAGAAGCTTTTTAAAACCGGGGGGAAGTCGTTACAGTGAAAATCAAACCACTTCTGAAGGCTGAATAAAGTCTTGATACATTTTTATAAAAATGAAAGAGTGATTCCAGAGAGAAGCAGACAGAGGGGTCTACAGTCTGTGTTTGAAGGATATATCCAGGATGTCAAACTGACTCAGCAGCAACAACAGGTTAAAAAGACAAAGTTAAAAGCTAAAGCCGAATTATAGGCTACAGATCACAGTGTAAAAGTGAACCATCACATCACTGCTGATCGCCACACAAGACAATGAATATAAAGGGGTGTGCAGATGACGACAGGGAGGGATCTCCGGGGGAAGTCAGACAACGTTCATCTGCACACAATGTGATGTCACACAGCTGGTTGAATATCAGCAAAGTTTCCCTGCTTCCCTTCACTGGTTCCTGTACAGCAGGGTTGGTCTTTTTTTTGCTGTTATCTTACTGTCTTACTATATAATGACGAAAACTCTGTGTGTGTGTCTGTTCCATGTTTTTCTCCTCACTGACTTGGTCAATCCATGTGAAATTTGGCACAGTGGTAGAGGGTCATGGGAGGATGCGAATGAAGCAATATTACATCAATTGGCCAAAGGGGGGCGCTATAGCAACCGATTGAAATCACAAACTTTGAATGGGCATATCTCATGCCCCGTATGTCGTAGAGACATGAAACACAGAGATGCCTCTCCTCATGAGGAACAAATTTGCCTCAAGAACCCATAACTTCCGGTTATATAGATTTTCCGCCATGTTGAATTTTTTGAAAAAACACTTAAAATCGATTTCTTCCTAGGAAGTTTGACCGATCTGCATGAAACTCGGTGAACATAATCTAGGGACCAATATCTAAAGTTCCCTCTTGGCAAAAGTTGGAAAACTTACTAAAACTGAGCTTCTATAAGGCAATGAATATTGCGGAGGGCGTGGCTCATCACATAAAGGTGTTTAACATCTCAAGGGTTTCACCTATCACCATGCATCTTTGTAGGCATATGACCACACATAATCTGAGTGGACCCCTCCATTATTGACCCCATCAAACAAAATGGGGGCGCTAGAGAGCTAATTTCTTATCTAGGCCTGACCACCATATCAATTTTTACTAAACTTGGTAGATATGTAGAACATGACACCTCAAGGTGACTAGAGAAATTTAACTCTAATTGGCAACTGGGTGGCGCTATATCAACAGAAAAATGGCTAAAATGTGACAGATCGCTGTGGCTGCAATCGTACTATCAAATTCACAAAAACTCTGAATACATTGCTCTTCTTAATGGGTTCAGTTGACTATTTAATCTGCAATTTCCTATGACCTGTATCCCAAACACACACCATGTGAAACTGTACGTGGGCAACTGTGCACTCAATGGACTAGTAATCATTAAAAAGCAAAAGCAGTATGTGTACCTATTCAGTAGGCTATATCTTCAGTAGCTAGCTAGCTAACCCTACACTTTTCAGGGTTTGATTTTTGTTTTGGAACAAGGAAGAAACATGTATCTTTTTCCAACCTCTCCAGGTAACTGATGGAAATGGTTTCAGCTTAAAAGAATAGACAGGAGGTCTTCGTCGCTGCGACGCGTAGCTACACTGCTGATTCCACTCAGAAGTATAAATTCCCCCTTTATAAGTGCAAAATCAGTTGCTTAGCTTTAAGCATGCCAATCAGGTTCTCCCTGTCGTGAAACACTCTTCTCGGGATGCCTTAACTTTCCTCATTTATTTCCGTAAACTAGAGTTGTACTGATACCAGTATCGGAAATGCCTCCGATACTGCCTAAAATGCGGTATCGTGTATCAGCGAGTACAGCCTATGACCAATCCGATACCACGTAATGCCTCACGTCATTATGCATACGTACACTACAGGCAAACAAAACGGAGCGGAGTTTAAAAAGCATTCTACTGTAGCCTTTAAAATGTCTTTTTTACCAAATTGTGTGGCTTCACTTTAACCTGTGTCTTGATCTGTGTCAACACTGGATAATAATAATAAAAAGTTTTATGGCATTCATTCTACTATTATGTATTTATTTCTTATATTTTTACACAGAGTTTTAGGAGTTGAGACATACAACACATTTTACGCTCTGGTATCGGACTGGTACTTGGTATTGGCAGATACCTAAGGTTCAGGGATCGGAATCGGTATCGGGAAGGAAAAAGTGGTCTCGGTACATCTCTACCGTAAACTCAACCATGTTTTTGTCCTTACTTTAGTTACTAAGGTTCTTTGTGCAACAATTTAACAAACCTTAAGCAATTCCTTAAGTATAAGACCCTGATAACGAGTATCATTAATACACAACGTGCCCCAGGCACAACATTTAGCTCCAAATCCACAAAACCAGCCTGAAAA